ACGAAAAGAATTTTTTTAATACTCATTTTTTTAAAGAACAGTCCTGATACACCTGTATTTATTGACTCCCTGCAATCGTCACTTTGTATTTGAAATCGTTACTCCATCTAGTGGAGGGTTGTCCTGCGTTTGCCGTTTTGAACAGTGAAAATATAACATACAGATACATAGGATACCTAATTTCGCTTTGCTCTCTTACGCTTTTGGAATGAACTCGCGGGTACAGCTTTTAAATAAAAAGTTTACACGCTACCTCTTATGCCTTGCGTAGTTGATCGTAAACAACAATAGACGAATTCCGGATGACACTTGTTGCGATTTCACGATTGCTGTAGATTGTCCTATTAGTTCGTATTACACTGTGCACGGAGTAGCACGTCTGAAAATAATAGCTCTGTCTATTGAAGTGTCGTTACAGGTTACATACAGACAGTGGTTGTAAACATTCGGCTTAAATTTTATAATTTTATTTTTATAAAGTAAACGACATCTTTATTTGTTAGTAAATTATTGTAAGTATTTTTTTTTGTTTTTCAAGAAAATGCTTACTGTTGAATGTAAAATTAAACATCTGAATAATTAAAGTGCTTTTATATGCAGTGGTCGTAAACATTTGGCGGAAATGGCAAAAATATTTATAATTTTTATTTTGTTTTAGTAGAGTTGTAAAAGCAATATCTTATTTAGTTTATTAGCTTGTTAATAAATTAATGTAAATCTATTTTAAGAACTTACTGTTTAATGTCGAATAATTGGAATGAAATACTCATTTAAACACAGCATTACGAATGCATGAGGTAAATTGTTTTAATTTAAGTGAATCATTTATATTTTAATTAAATAACAGAGATAGTGCACGGAAATACTTAATTACTTAGTGTATTTTGCGAGTTTATCGGTGTCGGCAACATTTGGCAAAGATTTTGTTTTGTATTTCTTTATCTGTCCTCACATTATGTTAATAAGTTATTTGTTTAAATTTTTGGCAAACTTATCCATGTAATTTGTTATTGTCTTTACGATTATATATTTGAGTAACTACGTAGCACAGTTGCAGGCAAGTTGCTGTCTATAGAGAGATCTTAGGTTCGATTTACGAACAAAATTTTTTTTAATGGCCCCTTTTGAATCGGTTTCTTCATACATAGTATGCTAAATTGATTAGGAGGTGTTTTTTTTTAATGAAGACAAACGTATGTCTATCCTTGTAAAAGGAGTTATGGAAATCGGTTCACAATTTGCGATGTGATCGTGTAATTTAAACACAAAAATATTCAGACTAATTAAGAATTCGTGTTTTGAAAATCACTTTTAAAAAAAAATTCTGTTCTTTAACCAGGGGTTGTCTGTAAGAGATTGCCCTAGCGATAAGACCGCCTTTTGTACCTTTATGTGTATATTTTTGTTTATGGTGCAATAAAGAGTTAAATAAATAAATAAATATTTTCCGTCACTAATATACAAACGTTTTCCTTGAATATGTTACTTAAAAAATATAATCAACTTCGCCGTGTGGACGTGTGGAAGAGTGGACCGCCCCTTCCTTTCCCATAGGTGTCGTAAAACGTGACCAAAGGAACGTAATGGTCTTCTTAATGGGTGATAATGAAATGGTAACCCCACCCGCGCCATCGGTATACACCGGCGAGGCACCAGTGAAGGATGATAGGTGAGGATGAAGCAGGTCAGTTAACCCATCGTGACGAATTCAACAAGAATTGTTCACGATGGTTTCCAGGGAGAACCACGTGAAGGTCGACCTACTAGGGCATATTGCTAGTAATGGGGCTGTCAAACTCCATTGCTAACAATCCCTTTCCCCCCGGAACGTAATGGTCGAAGAGTAGGGTAGGTAGCGTCCTTCTAAAAACATCACCGTAAAGCCTAACTGTAACTGCCAAACCGCCTGCCAAGTGTGGCTCCTATTGGTAAAACCCTTCTTATGGAGGAGGCCCATGTTCAGTTCAGCAGTAAACAGTTAACGCCTGATATGATGAAGGTGATGATGATGAAACAACTTCAGTACCTTTACATATTTCTCTGTTTATCACAAGTCATGATGTTCTCATACATTTTGGCCTATTTTTACCGATTATGATGATGTAATATTTTTTTATGGAAGTAAACAGTTTTTTTTTACTATTATTACAATAACGCAAATTTTGTTAATCATACGAGTATGTTTCCTCTTGCTATTATACTTGCTTTTAATTTTACAAGCTGTTTATCGCGCCTTTGTCTGCGTGTAACAATATATAAAATGTTAATTAAGTCATAACCATATATGTTATGCTTTATATACAAACCCTATAGACAGAGGGGTAAGGGATTGTTAGTAATGCAGACTACCAGTATCATTGCTAGGAATATAACCTGTCAGGTCGACTTCCACGTGGTCCCCCCTGGAAACTATCGTGTTCAATTCCAGGTGTATTTTTCACGATAAGCTAACTGGCCTGCCTTTCCATTTTGACCTATAATCCCTCACTGGTGCCCCGCCAGCCTATACTGTTTTTATTTTATGGGTGAAAACGGTATAGTAACCCCGCCTGCGCTAACGGGATACGCTGGCGGAGCACCAGTGAAGAGTGATCGATGAGAATGCAAACAGGCCAGTTAGCCCATCATGATGAATTCATCAGGAATTAACCATGATAGTTTCCACGGGGAACCGCGAGGAAGTCGACCTGGTTGGGTATATTGCTAGCAATAGGGTTCTCAGTCTCCATCACTAACAATCCCTTTCCCCCCAGCCTATACTGTTAGCGCAGGTGGGGTTGCCATTCCAGTTTCAACCATTAAAAAATAAACACCTCCGCTGCTAGCAATGAACTTTCAGGTCCGGTGGCAAGGGATTGTTAGTAATGAGGTCTAATAGCTCCATTGCTAGCAATGTACTCTCAGGTCGACCTCCATGCGGTTCCCCCTGGTGAACCATGATGGTTAATTCTTATTAAATTCATTAGGATGGGCCAACGGATCTGGTTTCATCCTCACCTATCATCCCTTACTGGTGTACCGCCAGTTTATACCGATAGCACCGACATGGTTACCATTCCATATTCACCCATTGAAAAACTCGCACGGATACATTGGCAACAGTTAGTTTATAATATTAACAGAATTATAACATTTATTTAACTTATCTATATAAAAAAAAAAAAATTACTTGTTTTTACAAAAGCTGTTTTAATACCTATGCCAAGTCTTTATTATAGTGGGTTTTTCCTTAATGTAATTATTAATTATAATTTATAACTTTTAACCAACTTTAAAAGGGGTAGGTTATCAGTTTTAACAAGCTGACTCCTCAGGAACCTCCTTATTGGAGTCAGAGGTTATCAGCTCGTCTGATTGTTATGTCACTAGGTTTTTTCGTGTGATAAGTCAATATCTTTGCCAATTTTGTATCGATTTTTGCAATCAATATAGTTTTTTTTTTTTAATATAGGTTATTTGAAAATTCCAATGCTTATAATTTAATTATTATAATATAAATTATAATTTAATTAAAGCAGACATATTTGAGCACATTTTTATTAGATTCATTATTATGTGTGATAATGAGATATATATAAAAATAATATGTTTTTTTTTATACAACTTAGAATGGCAAACAAGCTGACGGCCCACCTGATGGAAAGTGGTAACCGTCGCCTATAGACATGAGCAGTACCGTGGACATAACAGAGTGTACTGTTTCACCCATGATACCCCCATGCGTTGCCATTCCTGAGGACTCAGGTGTTATTCCTCTTTACCCTGTAAATTCACGACATATCCCACCCTTCAAACCGAAACACAACCATGCAAGCACAACTGCTTCACCGTTGAAACATGAATGAGATAAAGGTACCCAAGCAATCGACTTTTGTACAAAGTCTCCCTCTGGTAAATATAATATGTATTTGGGTATGTTATTCTTATATTTTAATGTATAATAAAAAAATATATTTAAATATAATTTGAATTTAAAGTTATATGAGTTTATTCCTATGGAATGTCGTGAAAGGCGATTAAGGGTACTTAATGGACGAGGGATGGGCAGTAGCGTCCATCTTAAAACATCATCAAAGCCTATTGTGGTTGCCAATCCGCCTGCCAAGCGTGACAACTTCTAGCAAAACCTCCCAAAAGGGTAAGGCCTATGTTCAGCAGTGGACAGCTAGCGGCTGGTATGATGATCATGAATCGTGCGTACTCTTACCACGTTTATGGAAATGAATGCATATATATATATATATATATATATATATATATATATATATATTTTCGTTAGTACAAATATGTGTACATGGCGGACTTAATGCTAAAGGCATTCTTTCCCAGTCAACCATAGGGAAGTGTCAGAATACTCGAATGCGGTACTACTAATTATTGATAAACATACATACTAAAATTACATATATAAACGAATAAATATATATAAATATACTTACACATATATGACATACACTATATTATACGTGAAATTGAGAATAATATAAAGTACTTACTGCTGGGATAAAGTAAAAAAGTGAGCGTGAACGTATTTTTTTTTTATTTTATTTATTAAATACTTATTTTGTATTCTAAATGTAAAAGTGAGTTTATTGGTTTGTTTGTTATCTCTTTGCTCCTTAACCGCAATAAAAATTACTATACAAGTAGTATTTTTTTTTAATGGATGATAATGGAATGGCAACCCCACCTGCGCTAACGGTATACGCTGGCGGGGCGCCAGTGAGGGGTGTTAGGTGAGAATGAAAAAGCAGGTCAGTTAGCCCATCGTGATGAATACATACAGAATCCAGCACGATGGTATCCAAGGGGAACCACGTGGAGGTCGCCCTGACAGGGTGTATTACTAGCAATGGGACTGGTAGTCCGCATTACTAACAATTCCTTCCCGCCTACAAGTAGTATTTGGAATGGAGAAGGACTTAAGCTATTTTTGGCTCTGACAAACAAAGTCAGTACTTAAATTGGACGTGGTTTTTGAGTTTTTTTTTTCTTTACAGATCCAATCCTGGCACAGTTAGTGCCACTGCCCGAGCCGTCTTCACCGCAGCCATATCACCCAAAATGACAAGCCGGCCATTTAGGAGGAAGCCGTTCAAAATCCTAAGCACATACCTGAACACGTAAATTGAACTCTGATGCGTTAATATTAAAAACCAAAGTCCATCAAGACTAAATTAGTGATATTAGTGAAGTTCCTTAATTTATTGGTGATATTAGTTTTAAGCCAATCCGGTGATATTGTGATGATGATGATGAAGTCGTTCAAGTGTTGTGTGATGAAGACGTGGTGTTTGCTGGTGTTAGTGAGCGTCGTTGGAGGGGATCGGAGTAATCTACCTCCCACATGTGATAGGTGAGTTGGGCTTTATATGCTGCTTCCTTAGATTATATTGATAGAGCAGAGTCTCAAAAACATGTCAACTTTTTGTCAAATTAGTTGACTCGTTTTTTTATGTGCTCTATATATTGCGTAAGTACGCACATAATATACCTTGGCTTATTATTATTTCATTATTTAATAAATACAATGAGTTTTTACGCATTAAAAAGGTACAAAAATTATTAAATAAAAAAAAACTAAATATAGAAGTTATAAAGGAAACAGACACCTTTAAAAGCACATTCTCTCATATAGGATTTTTTACATATACACTGTTATAAATTTTCTTTTTTTTTAGGGTTTCGTACCTCTAATGGAAAAAACGGAACCCATATAGGATCACTTCGTTGTTCTTCCCTTTGTCCGTCTGTCAAGAACTTTTTCTTAGGAACGCGTGGAGGTATCAAGTTGAAATTACGAGTACTATCATATACTTAGGTTTACAATAAAAAATACGGCCTAATATAAATGGTACATTCATTTATATTACATATTTTAACATTCGTAAAGGACATCAATCCCTACATGGTACTTTCCGTTGAGCTATAATCATGAAATCTGGCAAGGAGTAATGTCATATAGCACAAGTAAAGGAAAAAACTCGAACACTGTAAATTTATAGTTATTACACAAAAAAATTACACTTTATAATTTTGTACGGAACCCTCGTTGTGCGAGTCCAACTCGCACTTGACCGGCTTTTTTCTTAATATTTTTTTTTTAATAAAATTACTATTGCTAGTTATATACCCTATAAGGTTGACCTCCACATGGTTCCCCCTGGTAACCATAGTGGTTAATTCCTGTTGATTTCGTCACATTGCGTCAACTGACGTGCTTTCATCCTCACCAATCATCCTTCACTGATGCTTTACAGATAGCGCAAGCAGGGTTACTACTCCATTATCATTCATTAAAAAAATCATTTTCCCCCCTCTATCATCATTGTCATTATATCAGCCTTTAACTGTCCACTGCTGGACACAAGTCTCCCTCTAGGGGTTTTGCCAGAGTTGCCACGTTTGACAAGCGGATTGGCAACCACAGTTAGGCTTTGGAGATATATTAAGAGGGATACTGCTGCCCATCCCTCGCCCTCCCTTAGTCGCCTCTTACGACACCCACGGGAAAGAAAGAGCTGGCCCATTCCATGCCGGGCCGTACACGACGAATTATTCCTCCCTCTGTAAATTAACTAAACTCTGTAAAATAGTAGTTTGTGAATATATCCGAAACGTGACTCTGTAATGAAACTAGGTGAATTATATTGTCAGGTCACAATGCGGAGAATAACTCCGCATCAACCGTGTATAATGTAATGCGACCTTGCGCTCAACAATCATTGTTACCGCAGAATTAACTGTGTATACATAGATCTTATTAAATGCCAATAAACTTAACGTTGTTTCCGGTTCAGATAGTGCTAACTGAACAGGTAATCTTTAAGTCAGAAACGTCATATCAGCCGTTATCTGTCCTTTGTTAAACATAGGCCTTTCCCATAGACTGCCATAAGGAACGATCCCGAGCCACCTGCATCCGTTGACCCCCGGAAAGGCATTTGCAAGTCAAGTCAAGTCGATACTTCATCTAGCGAGGAGTCGTCAATGAAATATGTTATAGCAGTGAAATTACAGGGTACAAAGACATAACACCATAAGGTGTTATGTCGTTTAGTATTTTCAGAAATATTTACGCGTGAGCAGTAGATGGTGTCGTGTAGTATATCTATTCTCATAGAAATCTACGATCAGGGGACCATAGATCTATTTTATATCATAGACTGGAAGACATTATTAGTTACGAAGACTGACATCTCCATTGCTAGTAAAACTGACAGGTCAAGCTCCACATGGTGCTGCTGAAAACTAGATAGGCCAATCTCCTCATCTATCTTCTCTCATTGAAATTCCGTCATTGTATTTCAGTATCTTCTCTAATAGTGCTGTTACATCAAACTATGGGTCAACTAACTTCATTTTATCCAACCGAATCACTTATATTCAGTTGGATGGGTGCGACCTTGAAACACAGTACAAATAGTATAATTGTGATATAGTAGATACACTAGCTTTATAGTAACATAACAAGTACGTCAGACAGCGTCAGTATGTCTGTTAATTTTAAACATTGAGCGTACAGCAAATCATAAAGTAAGCAATCCTGCTGTCAATGTAAACATGGTAATAGAGAAAACCAGTTTAAGCCGATCTGTGACGTACGGTCTAGACTCTAGACGTAGTGTCGGAATAGAAATGTGACTCTGAATTGGGAAACTCGATTCATCATTTGTAGGTTTGAGGTGTTCCGGTTCGGTAGAAGTACACCCGGAAACGCTACACGGATTTTGATGTATTTTGGGCTAGTTTTTCAACACTAAACTCTGTTGTGACTGTCATATAGATCATATGATAATACGGTGTATATTTTGAGGGGCCATTGTACTTCCGGAACTATGTAGCTGATGAAAGGAAGAACGAATATGTATAGCTAAGCATGCAGACAAATAGAAATAAGACATACACAGCGTTAAACAAAAAAAGAAAACCTAAACTATCATCTCAGTAAAACCTCTCTTTGAAAAAAGCAGCTGAAATTCATTTGTCCGTTTGAAAGCTACAATATTACTAACAGAAATACGCACAGTCCTTTAGATTTCTACGAGTAATCTTTTTTTTTTATGCGTTAACGATTAAGAATAATAAAAAAAAAATTAATTAGTATTTGTTTCTTAATTTCAGTCTGATCTACTGCCATGGACCGCTGTTAGACACGGTCCAAATGGCCGGCCTATATAACGACTCCAAGACCTTCGTGGACATGAAGATAAAGTTCTCCCCAAATATCACGATGGAGCATTTTAGACAGATGATGAACAGGTAATCACTTGTATCTACTTAGTCCTTTTGACTACCAGAATTTCGATTCGCGTGATGGTAAACCGTTACCATAGCCTATAGACGCCTGCAACACTAACATTGTCGATCCTGGAAGACTTTTCTTGGGACTCGTAGTCGAAAGGTCTATCGAAGTTGGTTAAGGGTTTCACATGATGAAAATCGCTTAGATATAACTGCAATAGAAACGCACGGTGCTTACATACACATTTATGTTTTTGCAAACATCTTCTGTTGATGTAATCATGACAGCTGTGTGTCACATCTTTTTGTATAAGGTGCCCCGGGTCAGATTAGAAGTTTACAATGGCTTCAGCCAATATGTTTATTATATAATACAATATTCTTCCAGGACAGGTTCCCACCCGACAAAGGCTGATATCCTGGAGTTTGTGAATGACAACTTCGATCCAGAAGGTTCCGAGTTTGAGGACTGGAGACCTACAGACTGGAAGGATAGCCCTGGTAAGCCATTTATACTGTTATATAAAATAACAAAAAGAGAAGATATTTTTTGTTATTTTGTGCTGACGATTGTAGTCCATCGTTGAGGCGAATGTAACTCTACCTGGCCAAATTTTCTCGAGCATACTAGAATCTAACTGGGATCTAGACGTACTTTCCACCATTATTCGGATTAACTTGGGTTTGTTTGGCTTTACATCACCGTAGAGTTATGTTAGTCAGATATTTAAATTGACACACAATTTTTTTGTGTCAGCTAGCAATGGGGTTCTTAGAACCCATTACTAATAAAACCTTTCTCACTACTCGGGTATGAGTGATCTGAGTCCCTAGATGTTCGTTGTCCGATGTCTCATAACATATGGTGGCGTAGCTTAAGGACCAGGCGAATAGTGTAATTGTGTGGCACTTATTATCAATATATTCCTCCACAGCATTTCTTGATAGAATTAAGGATCCACTACTTCACAAGTGGGCATCAGAACTGAATCGGCTATGGCTGCAGCTCGGCCGAAAGATGAAGGATGAAGTCAAAGAAAACCAAGAGTTGTACTCGATCATATACGTGGACAATCCTGTTATTGTGCCTGGTAAGCATTCCTATCTTACATTTATAATCATAACTTACCACTAAACACTTCCTAAATTGACCACATGACCTTTCTAACTACTTTTGAGCATGCCGTGTAGTCCCGCCATAGAATGGGTCACCCCTTCCTTGCCAACAAGTGTCATAAGAGAAAAGTAAGGGAACCTAATGGCCGAGGGATGGGCAGCAGCGTCCCTCTTAAAACAACATCAAAGCCTAAATGCGGGTGCCATTTCATTTGCTTAGCGTGGCAACTATTATATCAAAAATTTCCTTATGGGGCAGCCTATCAGCAGTGGACAGTTAACGGCCGATTATTAGAAATCAGGGGACTGTCTTAATTTTTATGTAAATACGATATGCCTTCGTACACTGTAAATTCACTATGTAATTATATTGACTTTCAGGTGGTCGTTTCCGTGAGTTCTACTATTGGGACTCTTACTGGATCATCAAGGGTCTACTCCTATCCGAGATGAGAGCTACAGCCAGGGGAATGGTGTCCAACTTCCTGGATATAGTCGACAGGATCGGGTTTATCCCCAACGGTGGCAGAATATATTATGCTATGAGGTACTATTTACTATATAACTATTATGATATATATATATTAATTATTTCGTGATTTAATTTAATACTCGCTGTGTGGTCCTAGCATAGAATGGACTATCCCTTCCTTTCCCGTGGGTGTCGTAAGAGGCGACTAAGGAGCTTATCGTGGTAGGATGAGCAGCAGCGTCCCTCGTCCCTAAATGTGATTCTTTAGATCGATCTAACTTTTTTATTTATGAACCGATTGAAATTAAACAAACACCAAATGTTAAGTGGAGAAAACCGCAACGCATTAGTGAAAACCGCATTGAAATCGGTCAAGCCGTTTCTGAGATTAGCGTGCACAAACGTAAAATTCTAAAAATCATTGTCTTGCGTTCATAAAGCCTCCTTATAATAGTTTTTCTTATATATCTTCCATGTACAGACAGCGACCAGTTACGATTTTATTATATGTATTTATTAAATAAGGATACTGACGAAAATTAACAACATTTTGTTATCATCACGTCCATTTTGATTGCAGATCTCAACCACCGCTTCTGATACCAATGATGCAGTTAATCATGGAGGACTTTGAAGACGTGGAATTCCTCAGGAGACACATCCACACGCTGGATAAAGAGTTCGATTTCTGGATCACCAACCACACGGTCGAGGTGGAACATAACGGGCACACGTAAGTGGCTTCTCTGTCTTCACTGCTAGGACCTTTCCTACTAGGCGTGGGTAATGAAATGAAATGAGATTTATTCGTTAAAAGCATAACTGTAGTTTCTTAACTAACATTAATATTATAGTTTTATAAGGGTACAGTAGTTGCGGTTTTAGAACTGGGCTCCTACAAAGGTTAATATAATAATCTGTGTTAAGGGGCTACAGCCCCAACCCCCTTTAGTATTATGGGGAAATTAATATTGATATAGAGTAACTACAGCAAGGTTGTATACTTGCTTTAACAATTAAAAAAATAAACAGAAACTAAAAGATATATATATATATATATATATATATATATATATATATATATATATATATATATATATATATATATATCCGTTCGGCTGTTTAAAACTAAATAAAAAACATATAAACATACTAGTAATTACACTATTAGTAGATATATATATATATATATATATATATATATATATATATATATATATATATATATATATATATATATATATATATTAAGCTGCATCAAACAATATTTGTTTCGTTTCCTCATACGTGTTATTCAGAAGAAATATAGTATATCGGTATATCGGACATAATATTGGTATAGCGGAAAAATGTAAAATATTATATATTATATAAAATGGTCATTATCTATTACAATATCTAACGTATTGTATATTGGGCAACAGATATTTAACATATTCGTTATTGGACCAATATTTAGATATTATATATGCGCAAGGCCTAACTGCAGTTGCCAACTTGCCTGTCAGTGGTGCCATCTATTGGTAAAACCTATGTTCAGCAATGGGCAGTTAATGATTGATATATTATTATAATAAAAATTTAAATTGTATAAAATTATATTTTTATATACTTATTTATTCACTATCGGCCCGTCCCGGCGTCGCACGGGTGGACATTTTCAACATTTCCCTTCACTGCTCTGCTCCTATTGATCGTAGCGTGATGAAAAGTATACTATAACCTGCCCAGGAGTATGAAGAATAATTGTACCAAGTTTTGTTAAAATCCGTCGAGTAGTTTTTGTTTCTATAACGAACATACAGACAGACAGACGAAAATTTTACTGTTTGCATTTTTGGCATCAGTATCGATCACTAGTCACCTCCTGATAGTTATTTTGGAAATATATTTCATGTACAGAATTGACCTCTCTACAGATTTATTATATGTATGGATTAGTACAAGGCGGTATTAACGCTAAAAGCATGCTCTCCCAGTTAACCTTAGGGAGGTGTTAGAATACTTGAATACGGTACTAGCAATTATTGATATACATATATTATATATGTTTCAGATATAAATTGTCCAGGTTTATCGACCAGTCGCAAGGGCCCCGACCGGAGAGTTACAAGGAAGACATTGATTGCGCTAAGTATGTTCCAATCCTTACTAAATATTGTAAATTTGAAGTAGCTTGAAGTAATTTGAAATATAAGTTTGTCTGTTACCTTATAGCGCATTAACGGCTTAACCAATTACTATGAAATTTGGTATACATTTTATAGAGGGAGACTATGTACAAAAGTCGTTTGCTTGGGTACCTCTGTCCCATTCGTGTTTCAATCGTGAAGCAGTTGTGTTTGCATGGCTGTGTTTCGGTTTCTAGGGTGGGATATGGCAGTGAATTTACAGGGTATAGAGGAATAACACCTGAGTCCTCAGGAATGGCAACGCATAGGGGGTATCATGGGCGAAACAGTATATTCTGTTATGTCCATGCTACTGCTCATGTCTATAGACGACGGTTAACATTTGCCATCAGGTGGGCCGTCAGCTTGTTTGCCATTCTAAGTTGTATAAAAAAATGAAATAGACTACTTTTAAATGCCTAAAATATATATATATATATATATATATATATATATATATATATATATATATATTTTTTTTATACTGTTTATCAAACAAGAATACATCTATGAAAAACATAATAAAGTAATGAATAAATAATAGATACAATATTTTTTATTTTTCATTTATGACAATAACTTTTTTTCTTCAGGCATTTTGACACTTTCGACAAGAAAGAAGAATTTTACGCTGAACTAAAAGCCGCTGCCGAGTCTGGATGGGATTTCTCGTCTAGGTGGTTCATACTCAACGGAACTAATAAAGGTGCTTTATTTTTTTTAATTTTTTTATGTTAAAAGTGGAAAAATTTGTTTTAGCATGACTAATAGTAAGTAATCGCCGTAGCCCAATAAAATATATATATATATATATATATATATATATATATATATATATATATATATATATATATATATATATATATATATATATATATATATATATATATATATATATATATTCAGTTTATTACTCAAGAATACATCTATGAAAACATCTCTAAAGCCTAATGAATAAATAATCTCTAAATATTTTTTATTTTTCAATCTTATGACAATACTTTTTTTCTTCTGGCATTTTGACACTCTTACAAGAAAAGAAGAATTTGTTCACCAATGAACATTTTTTTTGATGCCGAAAATGGATGGGATTTCTCGCCTGCGTGGTTCAGCACCAGTGAAGGGTCAACGGAACTAATAAAGGTGCGTTACTTTTTTTATTTTTTTTTTATGTAAAATGTGGAAAAATTTGTTTTAGCATGGCTAATAGCAAGTAATCGCTGTAGCCCAATAAAAGTAAACACTGGTAACACCAAAAAAATTACAGATTCACTCCATCTTTTACAAAAAATCCCTATAAAATCTCTTTAGTCATGTTTGCATAGCTGTGTTTCGGTTTGTAGGGTGGGATATGGCAGTGAATTTACAGGGTACAGAGGAATAACACCCGAGTGCTCGGGAATGGCAACGCATCGTTCGAAATGACATAGATGTCAAATTATATTTTAATACAAGTGTTGCCAGTAATAAGTTTTGAAATTACTTAAATTACTGAGTAGCTTTATTAATTAATTCAAAACACTGTATTTCTATTTCTTACATCGTCTTATTATGAACTCTGATAATAATAAATATTATCACGAAAAAATAAATTAATTATCCCTATTATAAATATTTGTTTACTATATTTATTAATATATAAAAAATGGGAACACTTCTAAATTCACACAGAAAATTACAGTTTCGATCTGAAACTCGATAACATACTGTCTACAATTTTTTTCTAATCCGTGTTATGTTATTAGATATATATATATATATATATATATATATATATATATATATATATATATATATATATATATACAATTTTTATTCCAAGCTGATTCTTTTTTTTTATGCAACTTAGAATGACAAACCAGTTGACGGCCCACCTGATGGAAAGTTGGTAACTGTCGCCTATAGATATGAGCAGTATCATGGACATAACAGAGTATACTGTTTCGCTCATGATATCCTCCATGCGTTGCCATTCCTGAGGACTCAACTGTTATTCCTCTGTACCCTGTAAATTCCCTGCCATATCCCATCCAGTAAATCGAAACACAGCCATGCAAACACAACTGCTTCACGGTAGAAACACGAATGGAACAGTCGTACCCAAGCAAACAACAATTATACAAAGAGATGTAAATATATGCTTTGTTGATTGTCCTTAAATAAATAAATAAATATATCTCCCATGTACAGACATCCTCAAGTTATATTTTATTATATTAATATTTTGTGTTCGTTTGTTTTTTACAGGCAACCTGACAAACTTGAAGACCAGGTCCATAGTGCCAGTTGATTTGAACTCTATAATGTGCTGGAACGCCAAACTGCTGCAGGAGTTCCACAGCCGAGTTGGGAATGTGGCCAAAGCGGAATACTATAGAGAGATACACGCGAAATATATGGAAGCTATTGATAAGGTATTTATTGAAGAAAACGTGGCTTAACAAATTATTTATTTATTTATTTATTTTGTACTAGCCTTTACCCACGACTTCGTCCGCGTGACTGGGATATGTTTGCTGACCGCGATAAATTGACCCTTCAAGTGATAGGTTCATCACAATGGTAACAGTTTACAAATGTCTCTGACCATCCCATTATGTTTACTGAGCGAGCTTCATAGTGATTGATTTAGTCGACGCTATATTTTTTTTATACAACTTAGAATGGCAAACAAGCTGACGGCCCACCTGATGGAAAGTGGTAACCGTCGCCTATAGACATGAGCAGTACCATGGACATAACCGAGTATACTGTTTTGCCCATGTACCCCTATGCGTTGCCATTCCTGAGGACTCAGGTGTTATTCCTCTGTACCCTGTAAATTCACGCCATATCCCACCCTTCAAACCGAAACACAGCCATGCAAATAAACTCACTTTTACATTTATAAGGATTTACTTAGGATTGACCATTTTACAAAAAAATTTTTGCTGCAAAACTCAAAACTAATGCTATATTCTCTATATAGGATCTCTCAGTACCTCTTCGCGGTTCTCCCTTTTTTTTCTTTTTTTTTTTTAACGTCTGGAAAATGCTTTATGCAGACCCATACACCTTGTGGGAGGTGAATGGGTATTCTCATCTATCCCCTTCACTGTGGGGGTGTACCCACCAAAAACCAGACGATATACCCTCGAGGTGCCATATGTCGGAGACATTTTCACTTTCCATCAAAAAAAAAGCCGACGGCAAATTCATTATTATTATTTACAATTAATGGCGATTGTTTAAAAATGAAAAGTCAAAACTTTGTGTAATATATAAATTAAATCATATTACGCCCATCCAAAATAATTGTTGATAATATTTATATATTATATCTACACCGGCCCCAGTGGGGAAAGGAGGGGCGGAACTAAAAGTTTTTCTGCGTTTTATTTCTGCGGCGGATTGACGGTGCGAGAGTCACTTTTATCCCCTTCCGCCGCCTCCTTCTGCGACATAATGCATCGCAGAAGACGAGCCACTGTGAGAAGGCTCCCACGATCTCTCACTGCTCACCATCCGCCGGACTACGGCGGGCAGCGAGAGATGTCCCCCAAATGCGCGGACAAGTCACCAATTCATCGGTTTACGCTGGGCACAAGAAGAAGTCCTCCAGCGTATGCTCCGCCGTGTCCTGGTCCGCTCCACAGGCATGGCACTTTTCGGCTCAAAAACTGCGCGCGATAACAAGAGACGATATCGCCCAAAGCACCCATGCCCGGACAGTATCTGTGTCATCCTGAAGGTCAGCGCCCCTCTCGCCTGTCCATCCACTTCTTAAGACGAACGGATAGCCACGACGAGTCCTGAGGCCGATGGCTCGGCCAGCGACGCTGTTCCCAATCAACGCTGCAGGACCCGTCGAACGATGGACTTCCGCAGCGCTCGCGGTTCTCCCTGGAAACCATCATGGTTAATTACTGATGAATTCATTATGATGGGCTAACTGGCCTGTTGTCATTCTCATCTATCACAGGCGCAGGCGCAGACGGGGTTACTATACCATTTTCACCCATCAAACAAAAGTCTCTCTCAGTCAGCCTTTTGAAATAAAATTCATTATTATTATTTACAATTAATGGCGATCGTTTAGAAACGAAAAGTCAAAACTTTGTGTGTGTGTGTGACAAAAAATAAATTAAATCATATTACGCGCATCCAAAATAATTGTCTGATAATATATATATATATATACATACATATAATATATATATATATATATATATATATATATATATATATATATATATATATATATATATATATATATATATTATATGGTTGCCAATCCGCCTGCCAAGCGTGGCAACTACTGGCAAAACCCCCCAAGGGGGAGGCTTATGTTGAGCAGTGGACAGCTAAACGCTGATATGATGATAGTGATGATCGACAAATATAGACATTGTGTAATAATCTCCACCTTCTCATCAGGTTTTTTGGCACGAGGAAGTCGGTGCCTGGCTAGATTTCAACTTGGAGTCGGGCAGACCTCGTGACTACTTCTACCCGAGTAACCTGGCACCGCTGTGGACTGGCAGTTACGATAAAACGAGAAAAGAATACTATGTCAATAGAGTCATCAATTATTTAGATAAAGTCAAGGTTTGTTTATGTTTTTATTAAAAATATTTTAATTAAAAAAATTAAGAAAGAAAGATACGACAACATAACCTTCAAGAAAAGAATATATTCCTTTTTAAAAAACTGGCAGCACACCTGCAATGCCGCTGGTGTTGTGGGTGTTGGATCATGGGCGGCGGTAGTCACTTATCATCAGGTGAGCCGCATGCTTGTTTGCCCCCTGTGTTGTAAAAAAAATTATTCAAGTAAACTTAGATTTAAGCACTTTTGAGTAGTCATTATTTTTGTCGGTTGACCAAATACATATAAAAAAAATCATAAAAATTGGTCGAACCGTTTACGAGGAGCACTACCACGAGCACTGTAATGCGAGATTTTTTTATTTATGTAGATTATAGTGATTATGGCCGTTTGGTCCCGGCATAGAATAGGCCACCCCTTTCTTTCCCGTTGATGTCGTAAGAGGCGAGTAAGGTAGGCCGAGAAATAGGCAGCAGCGTCTCAATTAAAACATTTTTAATGCCTAACTACGGTTGCTAATCCGCCTGCCAAGCGTAGCAACTATTGGTAAAGCCCCCCAAGGGGGAGGTTTATATTCAGCAGTGGACGGTTAAGAGCTGATATGATGATGAAGTAGATAATTTTTTTTTGATGGATGAAAATGGAATGTTAACCCCGCCTGCGCTAACGGGATACGTTGGCGGAGCACCAGTGAAGGGTGATAGATGAGAATGAAAACAGGCCAGTTAGCCCATCATGATGAATTCATCAGGAATTAACCATGATAGTTTCCAGGGAGAACCGCGAGGAGGTCGACCTAGTTGGGTATATTGCTAGCAATGGGATTCTCAGTCTCCATTATTAACAATCCCTTTCCCCCCGTTATGATGATGATGTAGATTATATTGATTTGGTCATTTACATTAACAGGTAGATATATACGAAGGCGGGATACCAGCGACGTTCGAGCACTCGGGCGAACAGTGGGACTACCCGAACGCGTGGCCGCCGCTACAGTACATGGTAGTGATGGGACTCGCGAACACCGGCCTACCGGACGCTATGCGATACGCCAACGAAATAGCCACCAAGTGGGTCCGGTCCAACTTCGAAGTGTGGAAGGAGAAGACGGCCATGTTGGAAAAGGTAACATTTTATATTATATTTGGGGACCGATGGGGAACACAGGTTTGCTTAAGTAGCAACCCCGTATGTAGTACCACCCTCGCTAGATAGTGACGACCTCAAATGTATTGCAGGGAGTCAGTGGATGCAGGTGGCTCAGTACTGTTTTTTATGGCTGTCAACGTGGGAGGTCAATGTTCTGCAGTGGACGGATAATGGCTGAGATGACACCAGAGGGAGACTTTGTACAAAAGTCGATTGCTTGTGTACCTCTGTCCCATTCGTGTTTCAACCGTGAAGCAGTTGTGTTTGCATGGCTGTGTTTCGGTTTGAAGGGTGGGATATGGTGTAAATTTACTGGGTACAGAGAAATAACACCTGAGTCCTCAGGAATGGCAACGCATGGGGGGTATCATGGGCGAAACAATATACTCTGTTATGTCCATGGTACTGCTCATGTCTATAGGCGACGGTTACCACTTTCCATCAGGTGGGCCGTCAACTTGTTTGCCATTCTAAGTTGTATAAAAAAAATGATGATGATGATGAAGGAAATTATTATTATAATATTAGCCATTAACTGTCCACTGTACACTACACACATAGGCATTCCCCATAAGAGGAGTTTTGCCAGTAATTGCCACGCTTGGCAGTCGGGTTGGCAGCTGCAGTTAAGGTTTTGGTGATGTTTTAAAAAGGACGCTGCTGCCCATCTCTCGAACATTACCCATCGTCGTCTTTTACGACACTCACTGGATATAAAGGGGTAGCCCATTGTATGCCGGGACCACAAGGCAATACTGTGATTTAATTTTCAAAATGGCCGCTGTCACAAGATGGCGGAAGGTATGTTTATATTTCGTCAATCTTTTTAATATGGGTATCAAGTAAAGAAATTGTGGATTACATGATGATAAAACAAATGATATCATTTTAAAATGGCCGTAGTCACAAAATGGCGGGTTACATTATGAAAATTTGTTTTTAAACGTGATTTTAAACTTTTTGTGTTATAGCTAGTAAATCCAATGCTATATTTTACAGTACGATGCCACTATCTTCGGCGGGTTCGGAGGCGGTGGCGAGTACGTAGTCCAAACTGGTTTTGGATGGACCAATGGAGTCGTTATGTCAATGTTAAATAGATATGGAGGTAAGTCATTTTGAACTCTGTGAAAATATATTAAGGCTGAATTTAACTAACACCATTAAAGTTACGTTGACAGAATAAACTTGAACCGAATTTCGTGACTACTTTAAAAAAATTATATTGATTACTTGAAAAAGTAATAGATTTACTTGAACACAATTTTATATGTGTTTTATTCTGTCAATGAAACTTCATTAATTGAAATGAAATTACGAATATCAAGGTAAAGTTTCAATGAAATTACAATGCCAACGACTTACCTAGAATTTTGGTAACTCTATTATGTCTATTGTTAAAGACAATTTACCATGGTAAATGGTCATTCAATTTATCATTGTCACTTTCTCTTTGTATTTACTAACAATAATAGATTTTTTTATTTTCATTTGCTGGCATCATTCACTGTTCGTTTTGGTTCACATAATTTTGATTAATAAAAATATTAGCTTTCATAAGCTTAATAATTTGACTATTTTAACATATTATATTAACATATTAGCAGTATTATATAGCACGTGCATTTATTGTCAACAAATCAAGATTGTCTATGCTTTGTGCATTAGATGAAAAAAAAAATTAAAAATGGTCTGGCTATTTGTTCTATAAAAAAATTACTTAAATAGTGAACACATACACCGATAAACGACTAGATGTTTCTAGATGTATTGGAGTCAGTTCTGTAGCACTTCTAAACCTATCTCTAAAATTCAAATTTGAACTTGATATCACAGTAAAATCTTTCTTCTAAAGATCCATATGAAATAAATTTCTAACATATCTGTTATATATATATATATATATATATATATATATATATATATATATATATATATATATATATATATATATATATATATATATATATATGTTATAATAATGTTTTAATTTTAGTTTATGATATGCCTGCCCATTAAATAGTTCTTTTACTGTTTATTAAAATATAAATTTTGGAGATAGGTTTAGAGATTGACGCCCAAATCACATCTAAATTGGAAATAATTGAATTTAGATCGCAATATCATGTGTCAACGAATAGCTTTTTTGCAACTAAAACAGCAGCTCATTACAAAATTTATACCAAACTACCATGGGAGTAAGTCATATGGTTTGCAAAAAGAATTGTTGAAATTGATTCAGAATTGGCAACGTAATCGTGAAACATTTGAGGGAAACAGAGTTTTCATTCGTTCATTAAAGAAAAAATCAGCTGAATTATGAACCCCTAAAAAGTAGCTTAAAAATGCTTTTTAGGACATCAAAAATGCATCTTAAAAATGCATTTCTTGCGTCTAAGAAATGCATTTTTGAGAAAGTGAACGCCAAAACTTCCTATCTTAATGGTGATAGGTGAAAAATTAACATAATTAATAATATCATTCTTTTCATTCACTCATTTGTTCCGCTCGACGTGGAAGTCGGTCGACAGGGTACGAATGGTATGTCATTCATTCGAATTGTGTTCATGTGTTGTTTTTACTTTAATCGATGTCGTTGAAATAATTATATTTATATTATTTAATTATTATATAAATGTATAATCGCTATAAATATTTTTGCATTATTTATTTATTCTTTTATTATATATATATATTTAATTCTTATTTATATTCTGTGGCGCTATCTCTAAAATTTTAATGGTACTGTTAATTTTAATATTCTAAAAAAATATTATGAACTAAATTGATAATAGATATGAGTCGAAACTATTTTGGGTTAATTTCTCGGTGGGTTGCGGCATAATACTTTCGTTTAACTATTCATTTAGAGTTTTTACTTTAGATTGCTTTATGGAACAGCGTTTTCAAATCACATTGCATGTATACTGAATTTGGTAGTAGCGCAATATTTTATATGCTAGCTTTTAAATTATATAGTTTTATATTGTTATAATAATTTATATTATAATATACTGTAAATTTCACGAAATAATCCAGCTAAAGGAAAAAAAATATTTATTATCAAAGTATGTTTGTATAAGTACAAAATGTATCATTGATTCTTACACTAGACTGAGCTAATCGATCAAAAACAATCTTTGATATTCTTCTATTTATCATACAGTAAGTTATTTATATTATATATATATTTTTATTTATTTTACACCGTAATACAATAAATTAAATACAAATGACGTTGTTATTTCAAACCCTGCAATTATTTCGTGAAATGCGCTTTAATTCTTTTTCAAACTGCTAAATATAGATATAAATCAATGCTAAATATAAATCAATAGATTTATTTTATTTAAAATTATATTGTGTTATTTATATATTTTATATTTATATATTTTTTCATTTATTATATTTATACATTTTTATTTGCGTTTATAGTTTAATGTATCATTATATTGTACTCATTTTAATGTGCTCATAATCATAAGTGTTTGAATTGAAAGTATTGATTGTCACTTATGAAACAAACGTAAATCACTCAAATGAAATGACGTAGGACAGTCGTGTATGTATTTTTATATTTATTTATTTTTTTTCAATAAATAAATTTCTATTGACAAAAGTGGACAAGACACACGTAGTTATGAAATACTAGATGCATTTCGCAGCAATATTTACATGAATTAGCACAATGAAGTGTCTGAATCTAGATAGGATATAGTTTATCAGTGTGCCAAATTTTATTTAATTACATCAAGCTGTTTAAGAGCTTTTTACTTGGTATAATATCATACAATCATTTTTTATTAGAATGATTTTATTAGAAAGGAGATCATCATTTCTAATAAAATTATCTATTTATTATAATTATATAAGTTATAAATGTATCATAATTTATGTTCTATTTACAAGCTTTTATTATATAAATTTCGTTTATTTCAATGATTCATAACTTATACTAAGTAATATACTATTAGTGTTGATTATATTCGTTTCTTTTCATTCTATATTTATATATATAAATTTATAATCTTTTGATTGTGTGTAACATGTGTATAATATTTTTAATAATTTCTTTTTCAGCACTTATTTTTATGAGTACTAATTTGTTTTTCTTAATTATTTTAGGTTTTATTATATGTAGTAGATAGTGCGTTTATATTGTAATAGAATTGCATGCGATTGGTGGGCTCAGATTAATGACGAGGGCTTGGTATCTTTAATCTATGGTTATTGGTATTTAAAATGTCATATTGTTAGATTGTATAGATAGAGTGTTTCCATAGAAATTCTTTGAGAAAAGCGGCTCAACTTTTTTATACAATTTTGCGTGATAAATAGTTATGAATGATTCCTTTATAACATTGTATGCGTATGTATATAGAACATGAGATATCATGGGTGTAACATTATGTCCATGGTACTGTTCATGTCTATAGGTGACGGTTACCACTTTCCACCAGGTGTGCCGTCAGGTTGTTTGCCATTCAAAGTTGCATAAAAAAAAACATTGATAAAAAAACGAGTTAGTTAATTGTTAAATTAAGTTAATTATTAAAAAGGTGGTCCGTTTTTGAGGCTCGATGCTCTATCTATATAATCTAAGATCGTGTTATTTACCTATCTTTTTATACTATTTTGTTCAAATTATACAATAGTGAATCAAGTAAGAAGGAAGTTAGAAATAAGTTAATAATAATTTATTTTGATTATCGAATATATTTTTTTTATTGAATTATTTTGTAAATACATTTCGAACGGTCATCTGATATAGTTTTTTTTTTTTTTTAATAAATTATTAAATAGGGCTCCTCTATAGTTATATTTTAATGCATGTTTAGAATTTTGAAAATTTATACTTAGAACGTTTGAAAATTGAAAGGGCTTTGTAAAATAACTCGCTCCTTCTTTACCCGTACATAGTTACCAATTGACATTTAATTTTGACACAAAAATGTTAATAAAAATTTAAATTAATTTTGTTTAAAATACAATCACTAATAAAATAAGCTTTAAATTTTATTATTAACGATATTTTACTATACTGTACTTGGTAATAATTTATGAATTAAATAATTAGATGCAGTGGTATTAAATTATATTTTTCGTAATATAAATATAAATATTCTGAATATTATTATATTTTTTATAAAAGAAGGTGACATTAAGATTAATCTTTAAACAGGTGCATATTTTCCATTTCGAATAATGTAAATAAATTACACACAACTGCAAGCTAGACTGTTTAATTTATGAATAAATTCTGAATGTTGTATTCAGTTATTCTTTTTTATATTTGCTTGCACTTTATGTATAACATTATGCTCTTAGTACTACACTCTGCTATTAGTACCTAATTATCTTCACGCTAATCCCCATACAGGATAGACAGAGGGTTCCAATGCTAACCTTACATCTCTTGCATTATTCACTTAATATATTTAATTCCAGCATGCACGCTAGTTCTTAATTTTTCTCTCAATTAATGTATGATGTATCTATTATATATCTTTTTTTTTTTGATTAAATTACCAATTATTATTGTTTATTAATTATAATCACAGACTTCAATTTAACACGATTAATATGAATCAAGTCATGTAAAATTGTTTTTAATAAAAAAAAAAAAAATAAAAGAATAACATCGTTCACAATAGGCAAAGATATACAAAAATAAAAATATAGTCGATTTAAATTACTCCCTCTTTTTTTATAATATAATTAAAAGAAAAGAATTAAAAAAAATTGGGTCAAACTTGACAGAAACAGTATAGATTGGTTTACGGGAGTAAACTCTTTCTTCAAAAATGAGAATTGTTTAATTCGGTTTATAAGAAAAATCAAAAGTTGATTCGAAATCCTTTTCCGTTTTTTTTTTTTTTTAAATAATATAAATCAAAGATATAAAGCCCAAATCACTAGAAGAGCCCACTGGACGCGCATAGCGCTGACCGGTGCTGGCTTTTTGACAGAGACGTTGTCGGCAGCGGACGAGTTCGGCACGAGCCCGGCCGACAATGGCGCCATCTATGGTGCGCACGTGGGAGCCAGCGGGGTCGCTACGGCTATTCTAGTCATTGCGGCGTCCTTGGCAACTGGCGCTTTAGGGTGAGGTAAGTCGAAGGTATTTTATTATTTACTAACTGACTCGGCAAGGGGGAAAGGGTTTTTTTTTAATGATTGAAAATGGAATGGTAACCCCGTCCGCGCTATTTGTATACACCGATGAGGCACCAGTGGAAGATGATAGGTGAGAATGAATGCAGGTCAGTTGGCCCACCATGATGGATTCAACAAGAATTAAACATGATGGTTTCCAGGGGAACCGCGTGAAGGTCGACCTGAGAGGGTATATTGCTAGTAATGGGTCTATTAGACCCCATTACTAACAATCTCTTTCCCCATACAGAATAGTGTTAAGTGGTTCCTCCTGAAAACCATCGTGGCTAATTCTAGTTGAATTCGTCAGGATGGGTTAACTGACCGTCATTTATCCTCATCAGTCATCTATCACTGGTGCTCCCCTCCCCCAGTATATTATACCATTAGCCCAGGCGGGGTTACCTTACCATTATCACCCATTTAAAAAAAACTGACTCGCAAATACTGTTCTTTATGGGGTCCATTTTTTCGTATGATGAAGTCTGTCTTATCTCTCAATTTGAAATAAATATTACACATTCACAAAATTTCATTCAGTCGTAAACTGTATAGGAACCAACATTCAATCCATGATATTATGTATATATATATATATATATATATATATATATATATATATATATATATATATATATATATATATATATAATTTGAGATTGTGTTCAAAAGAAAACCCGACTTATTTCGTTATATTTCTTATATTGATAAAATTTGCCGACATAGAGGCAGAATGTACAAAAAATATAAAAATATTTTTATCATCTAAAATTACCTGCATCAAATATAATAAATTCATTTCATTTCATTTCATTTCATTATATATTTTGATTTCAAAACTGCTGAACCGATTTTGATAAAATTAGCACTAATGGCACTAATCTGTGCTTTGTAAACATCTTGATATAAAGCGATCCCTATTCCTAATCGTTAATTTAGAAAATAATACCACATTTTCTATGTAGACCGTCAGCATGATTATCAATAACAATAGCATTTCTATAAACGTGAGCTTAGTATATTTATTATTATTTCAACTGTCCACTGGTGAACATAAGCCTTCCTCATAAGGGTAGTCTTGCCAGTAGTTGCCACGCTTAGCAAACGGGTTTTTTATACAACTTAAAATGGCAAACAAGCTAACGGCCCACCTGATGAAAAGTGGTAACCGTCATGCAAGCAGTGCCATGGACATAACAGAGTATACTGTTTCGCCCATAATACCCCCCCATGCGTTGCCATTCCTGAGGACTCAGGTGTTATTCCTCTGTACCCAGTAAATTCACACCATATCGCCTTCAAACCGAAACACAGCCATGCAAACACAACTGCTTCACGGTTGAAACACGAATGGGACAGAGGTATCCAAGCAATCGACTTTCGTACAAAGTCTCCCTCGGGCAACCGCAGTTAGGCTTTTACAGATGTTTTAAGAGGGACGCTGCTGTCCATTCCTCCATCATAAGCTCCCTTAGTCGCCTCTTACGACACACACGAGGAAGGAAGGGGTCTATATATATATATATATATATATATATATATATATATATATATATATATATATATATATATATATATATATATATATATATAATTTACAATAAATAATAATTCTTTGTTACAGATATCAATTTACTTGGATTCATGATTGTGTTGATTGACACAAGATGTTGAGGCCCATCAAAGTAAGACCATTCCATTTATTTTAATTCTTTAGTTCAATATTTAGAGTACAAAATAGATTGTTTTTTTTTTGTGCTATAATGTTTATTGTTTGTATATTTTTGGTACGGAATATGAATTACTACTAATTAAAATACTATAAAATTATACTGTGTTAACACCAAATTATGTTTACATTTCTTTTTTAAGTTAGAAAAATATGGCCAGAATACAATTTTGCGCCTTAGATATTATAATTTAGAATAATTTTTATTTTTATTGAAAAAAAAAATTTGTATTTATTTATTATCAAATAAGTACACTTTTTTTTATTATTAAAATAGTCTCATACAATGAGATTTATTAAAAGTATTGTATACTTACTTATTTTTTTTTTTTTATAATAATTTGTAATATATAAGTGTATCCATTTACTATATGGCATGTGTTTGTTTTTTTTTTTTCTTGTTTAATATTAAAAATAAAGTTTGCATTATTTACATGTTTATAAAATTTTCTTGGTTTCGATTTGTTCTATATTCTAATAATTATTACTGTAGGTATTCTCATTTTATAATCAGTATTATTTATTAAAAATATTAATTAAGAGTTCTAAAGAAATCTCTTCTCTTTCTGTCTTATAAATTTTATTTACTTATTTATTTATTACATCCACTGGGTGATCCTTACAGTCTTCCAATACGCTCACCCAGGAAAGCATGAGTACAATAACATATAAAAAGGTATATTACACAGAAATATTAAACAAAAATAATATAAAAAGACTAACTGACTCGGCAAACGTTGTTTTACCATATACATTATTTCTAGCATATTTCTAGAACTATACATGAAAATATATCGTACTACAATTATTATATTCGATTGTCATCTTGCAACCTATTGCGGAATATAAAAACTGCGATTAAACAACAGGGGTTGATCGTGAAAGCGTGAAAATTTTAATTTGTATGTATTTTTCAATGCTAAATCATAATAAAATAAAAATTAACAAAAATTAACAAAAAATTAAAAAAAATATATATTTAGGAGTGTGTCACCATTATCATTGACGGGTATGAAAAATAGATGTTGGCAGATTCTCAGACCTACCCAATATGCACGCAAAATTTCATGAAAATCGATAAAGCCGTTTTGGACAAGCTTGGTAACAAACACCGTGATACGAGAATTTTATATATTAGATTTAACTGAAACAAAAAACGTCTGAACACAAATACTCTGTGGTCATTCGACGAAACTCCAGCAAGTTGGAGGCAAATACATCCAATTGCGGATACCGGTTCAAAATATCATTGAGTAGTTTCAATGCAAGAGATAGGGGAGCCTGCTTAGCGAACTCTGTTCTTCGTAATGGAACATCGAATAAGTGCCGTCGACGTGCTCGCACGTAGTTACTGGGCGCTCCTATTGATATTGATTCCAACACAGTTTGGTTACATTTTTCCCCCCGCATTAATTTTAACACATACTCGATTAAATTTAGTTTTCGTCTCACTTCAAGTGTATTATAGCCCACCATACCCAACAAAAACATAGTCGGGTATATATGGGGATAAGACACCTTGAAACCATACTGTTTTTGGTACAGCCATCTTACAAATTTCTTTTGGATTTTTTCCACCATAAGTGTATATTTAGACTCATGTGGGTTCCAAATAATTGCGTTATTTTCTAATTTACTACGATTTAAAATATTATAAAGCAATTTAATAGCTTGTATGCAATCCAATTGTTGCACTTGTCGCAATACAAATCCGAGAGTTCTGAATGCTTGAGTTCACAGTTCGACAATATGCGTTCTAAAAGTAAGCTATTCACACAGTAAAATCCCCAGATCTCTCAACGAACTAACTATATAACTTTAAACTAACAATTACAATTTACATCTATAACTATATCTTTAACTGTCCATTCCTTAACATAGTTTTTAACTTTCGTCAGTAGTTGTCACGCTTGGCAGGCGGATTGGCAACCGCAAATAGGCCTTGGTGATGTTTTAAGAGGGACGCTGCTGCCCATCTCTCGACCATTAAGTTTCCTTAGTCGCCTCTTAGTTCACCCACTGTAAAGGAAGAAGTGTCCCATTCTATGCTAGGACCACACGATAAAGTAGAACGAAAATTGCAGTTTACGCAACTACGTATTTAAATGTAATCCAAATTTTCCGGTCCGCGATTTCTGAACGACACAGTGATAATTTTGAACAATCCTTGTTGTACGTTTACAAAATTAGTTTAGAATAAATATTTGTGAATAAAATAAATGTAACCTTGATAATTATATTTACAAGAGTATGATAAGCGATAATGATATGTATTTACTATGTGTTTAATATTTATTTAGCAAATTACTGAGTTGTAAACTGTAGGCGATAGGAAAATTTCAGAAGTTGGTATTCTCGTTTTTTTTTACAGACATTTTTTTTTTAATCCAACGAATTTTTAATCGATTTCCATAATGAATAAGTTACTACTTCGTATCTCTTTTGTTTTATGGGTCTGTTATGTGATTAATATTGCCAACATTAAACAGTTTTAGATAATTCTTTTATGCAATGTTTTACTACTTGTATAACGCATTGTGTTCTGAGAAATTGTTTAAAATGATACCCAGAACTATTTTTTTTATTATCGCACCGCTCGCCTTAGGCAGGGAATTCATCCTCGCATGCAGTGTGCGTTTACCGGCACGGGGTCGCCACTCAAGAACCTTTCTTCCGTATTGGTTGTCGATTCTTCGATAGACTGTGTTACTCGCTGATAATCGTTTCTAAAAGTTCAAGAATTTAGAAAATCCTTTTAGTATAATTTTTGAGTTTATCCGTTACAAAGAATCGATCAAATCTTTCCTGTATATAATATTAATTTAAACTGGTATGTAGGTATATGTTTTTTTTATGTTTTTTTATTTATTTTAGTACTAACAGTCATTAAACAGTGTTTAAATTGTTTCTAATTTTTTTCTTAATTAGATGTTTCCAATTAATAATAATGAACATTATTTTGCCACGCCTTTTAAAATAAACTTTATTTCCTTTTTTCCGAGTTCCACTCCTATCGGAGATTGGACAACACGAGGGTACTCCAAATTTTTTGAAGTTACCGCTCCGTCTGTGCGAAGTGGTGTTACAGTCGAACCACTTCTGCAAGTTCTTCAGCCAGAAGGGACGCCTCCTCCTAGCATTAGCCTTTTTTTTACCAGCAATCTTGTCTTGGATACTTAGATGAACTATTCTGTATTTTTTTTTCTTGAACTATTCTGTA